TTTTCATACAGTGATATGTTACCATATTTGTTTATTTGGTTAAGACACAAACCATTCAGTTAACACACTAACATCATGGAGATATCAATTAATTCCCAAGCCTACTGTGTGGGGATGCTGATCAGTCTCACCCAGCAGCTACTATAAAACCACCTGTTTACAATAATAATTTCTATAGCACCTTTCAAGAAACCCAAGGATTCTTTGCACAAGAGTATCTAGTAGTTAAAAAGGCTCGAGGTTAAGTTTTGTTTTGTTGAAATGGTGAGTTTTGAGAAGTTACTCCAGTGAGTCTTCCAAGAAAGGTATTGTGACTCTTATATGGGAGAGAGTTGCAATGGGTGGGGGCAGCCACACTTTTGTACAAAGTAACAATGTACTAAAAACTAAGTTAAAGAACAAAGGTTTTTAATACATTATACGTACTTTGTCTAACAGCACACATTTGTGCACGCATGACTCTGTGTTGATTTTAGTGATTTCATAACATTGTACATTGTACCCTTTTGGACTTAAACAAATATCAGTTGTTTCAACATCCTAACCTCCAATCAATGCATGACTCACTGCAACTTCTTCGGGAAAACCGTAAAACTGTTCTCACTGTACATTTTCTGCATTTTCCTTTCTGACTAATGAAAACAACAAAAGTAAACAGGAACCAAGGAGAGCTGGGGACAGTTCCCAACACTAAACACTCTTCACACTTCAAAGAAGACGTTATATAATTTCTCCTCTTTAATATTATGTTTTTGATATTAAAGGACAGTTGAGTTAAGGCCATTACGTTTCTAACCAATCTGCCACTCCTGAAACTAAGAATTTAAATTGTTATTTTAAAGCAATGATTCTTTTGTTGCTATCATAACATTGTTCTGAAAAAGTTTCACTAGATAGAAACAGCTTTTTAAGAACACAAGTTACCACATTTTGTGGCATTCTGCCTTTCGGCCCCTTTGCCCTTTTGTTCATTGACATTCCCCAGACTTACCTGGTGTGGCAGTGACTAAGATTGGGTAAACTGTCCCAACAGTTACGGAACAGATCAATACAAGTGGGGGAGGACGCCTACGCATGTGCAGAGATGGAGGATAAATATGTGGTAAAATCAAATGTCTGGGAGAGAAAAGGCAGTTTGGACAGAGTGTGAGAAGACTAACATCATAAAGTACACCATGAAGATACTGCTGTTGGTTTATCTGTGTGTGTATGCCGCCTGGGCACAGGACCTTGACTTTGATAACGAAGAAGATGATGACTTGGTGAGTATGTGTCTAAAGCGGAAACGTTTTTATATCACACATTTGTTTTGATTAATTCCTTTGATGAAAGGATATAGTCAATAAAATATATTAAACTTACTTTCATAGTGTATCAGTTAGCTTTTAAAAGAGTGTACACTGTGTAAAGATCTATGTTTAAAATTTCAGCTGTGTTATTACCAAAATATCTACCTGTCTATCTGTTATGTTATTTTATGAAATACATTTCTTCACAAATTGGGTCTATTTTTACTGAGAAATGCTAGAATTGAAAAAATGCATTGCTTGTTTTGTTTTATTTTTATTTATGTATCTATTTTGGTTGGGTTTATCTTTTATTTGCTTTGCACATATTAGAACTTCTCAATTCTAATTCTCAATGGACAAACGTGCTAAAACATAGATTACACATAATTTAAAAAAATAAGATCTACGTTAGGAGCTAAATTTGTTTGGGAGAAATTGAAACATGTTTTTGAAATAATTTCAAGTTTTACTTTTTAAATACAGTTCTTACCAAATTTGTCTGACCACCACCAAAAGGTTTTATGCCAGTTCTGCCCTAAATTAAGAGTAGTAGTACTGGTAATTACCAGAATCATTTTTTATGTTTATCATATGATTAATCCACCAGTATGCGTAAAATCTCTAATCAAAATTGCGTTGTTAATGCTAAGATATATTTTTTGGAAAAACAATATTGTCGATAGTAATATTGATATCCATGAGTTTTCCAATTTACTGTTTTAGAAAAGAAAATATAAGGCACACTGTATTTTATGATCAAGGTGACAAGTTACATTTAAATACTTACAGTACTGAAAAGAGAGCACTCTATATGCCATAAATAGAATGGCATAAACAAGTTTTTGATGTATTTATAAAATATTTTGGTCAGAGGGC